TCAGCGGGGACAGCCCCGGCTCCGGCTCCAGCCCTCCCGCCGCGGCTGGCAGCGCAGCCCGCTCTGAGGCTGGGGAGGCCGCCGGGGACAGTGCTGCTGCCCCCTCCGTGTCACTTCTCCAGAGACCGCCGGCGGTGCACGGTGGGAGTGCTGCGTCCTCCAGCGCCCCTGCGGCCAGCCCCAAGCCGGCTTGTGCCCCAGCAGCAGTAACACAAGTTGTCAACCATCAGAGCCCGGCTGCCAGCCACGGCAAGCCCGATGCCTCCACTGCACAGACTAAGCCCCTCACACACAACCCCCTGCCGCTGGCAGTGAACGCACTCCCGAATGCTGCCCCTGCTGCGCTTCCTGGCAGCCCCGCCACCCAGCCAGCCCCAAGCTCGGTTGCCAACTGTGTCCCTGTGGCATCCACCACGGTCACCCTTAACGCGATATCTAAACCCATGGTGAATGTTATAGGGCCGCCTGGTCCTGCTGTTGGCATAGCCAAGCCGGGTGCCGCTGTACCTGTTGTCTCTGCAGTCCCCCAGTCACTGTCCCCCCGGCCTGCGGTGGGCACTGCTCAAAGAATAGTGGCCCCGCAACTGATTGTTAGACCGCCTCAGCAGACCACCATCCAGTTGCCTCCAGGCTTTACTATACCACCTGGTAAGTGGACATGCAATCTTTCCAGGCTTGCTGTTTTTCTTTGCTAACCATTTTTTTTCTCACCGAGATGTTTCAAAGTTGTAGCTGTCCCAGAGATTTGTAAACAGAACTATCGACGAACAGAGTGTGGGACGCCAATAAGTGCCTGCTTGTAGATGAATTCTAATCAAAGTGTAACCATTACCAAAAATGTTAAATTGATTTAGGATTTTGTATTGCTGGTGTTAAAAAATCTCTGTTAGCGAAAAGGATGCGTCTTGCTGTATTGTAGGGAAGACAAGAAACACGGTAAGTTAGTTTGCAGTTGTGCTGTACAGCTCAAACCAAAAACAAATATAACTTCAGTTGCTGATTCATAGATAATCAGGTGTAATTCAGCATCCATGTTTAAATATTACTAATCTTTCTGTACTCCTAGTGGCGCAGAGAAAAGTTCTGTCTATTCAAGCAGCATCTGTCCTGAGGTGCACAATGTGAGTCATTTAGTATGTAAACCTCTTCATCTCAGAATGTATGCTGTATACAATTTCTGTGCATCTCCCCACTGGGATTTACCTCTAATTCTACAGTAACCATCGCATCTCATTCCTTCTATTTGTGGTTCCTTGGTTATTCAGATTTACTGTTACTTGGAAGATGAAACTGTGTATGGCATGTGGCTATGTTTGCTTTAAAAATATGAGTTCAGGAAGGTACACCATGAAACAAAAGTTTGCCCATTTATCTTGATGCTGGCAATTCCTACTTTTAAATTTTTCCTTCAGTCTCAGACTTCAAAGGGTATCCTAATATCATGCTGTCATACTTGGATTCTGATGTCATACAGAAATTTTCCATAAGTTTTGTCTCTTTTTAGATTACCTGACTTGTTTCTATGAAGTTTAATTGTTTTCTTTTTCCATTAGTATAATGCAGCATTCTTCAAGCATTAACACATTATGTATTCTGAAACTGTTAATTTCTTGCTTGGAAAGTATGTGATATATTAGGTAAATGGCGTTTGTGTATACTGTATGACAGTGTAAAGATTGGTCTCTAATGCAGTGATGTTTTGAGAAGTTGTGAAGTTGGTCAGAGTATATGTAACTCCTGATATGTATTTTCTACAATGCTGTTGTTCAGGTTGGGCAAAGTCTTAACGGGTTTTTGTGAACACCTCATTAAATTGGAAGAGCTATCAGATTCTTCTTAGTGAAATTTTTACCAGTTAGATCAGAGGTGTCAACTATGTGATCCACAAACCAGATCCTGCTCCTGGTGCTGCTCCCAAGTCTGATGAGATCCACGCAGGGCATGGCGCAAGCTCCTGGTGCTGCTCCCAAGTTGATGAGATCCACGAAGGGCATGGCACAAGCTTCTGGTGCTGCCCCTGAGCCTCATGAGACCTGTACAAGGCATGGTGTAGGGCTAGTCCCTGTCCTCCAGCATACCTGATCTGACATCTGCTCCACCTGGTCTGGGACCTGTGCGGTGTGTGGCACAGTGCAGATCCTGGAGTGGCCAGAATGGGCACTGTGTAGTGCAGTCCAGCCAGAGCAGCAGCTCCACTATATGCAGTGTCTGCTCTGGTGCACGTGCCACAAAGGGCGTTTGCTCCAGCCAGTGTGGGAGTTGTACTGCACACAGTGCTTGTAGGCACCAGTCTGACTGAAGCAGGTGCTGTGTGCAGCACAATCTTGGAGCTGCCAGGACAGCCACCACATTCAGTGCAGTCTTGCTGGGGTGGCCACTGCATGCAGCACTGTTGCTGTTCTGGCCGGACTGCACTGTATGCAGTGTCTGATCCGGTTGCTTTGCGGTCTGTGCTGCATGCAGTACAGGTCCCAGACCAGCTAGAGCAGCCACTGGATCAGGTATGTTGGGGGAGAGAGCAGGAGGGGGCCATGGGCTCTACCCAGCCTGCAGACTGGCCCCATGAATCACTGATCAGGCCCATGGGCCATAGTTGGACTCTTTATTTTTGTATTTTTTCCTACTATTTGAAGATGTCATAACTTTGTATTCAAATTCTGAAGTTGATTTCATCAGTGCTTTATTCAGCATTTTGGTTATTAAAACAGAAGGGAAAAATGACTCACTATTATTGTTCTTGGCAAAAAAAATATAGATTTGTTAAAGTATTACAAATGAAATCACTAGAGTGAGAGTGTATAGATTTTGAACTTTAAATCTATAAATGGCTATTGCCCCTTTATATGTATGACCTTTTTATCTTTTTAATAGTAGGTATCAGTGGAATGTTCTGTTTTTATGCTCATCTAAGTTACTCATAATAAGAACAGGTTACAAGGGCCAGCCCCAGATTTTTCATTTGGCTGACCTTGCCTTTTGGTAGGATGTTGTTGTTCCTTTGCCCTGCATCATTTCTTATCCCTGTCATACTCCTACTCTTGGATCTTGTCTGCATCATTTAACTAGGTAACTTTATTCTTGCCATTCTGGAGCAGGTCTTGCTCTCTTCCTTCTCCCCATAGACCTAGGAAGTCTAGGATTTCTTTCTAGGACCAGCAAGTGACATATGTTTTACCTGGATCTCTAGTTTTAAATGGGGCCAAGGTTGTGTGCTTGTATAAATGTCCCAGCATGGAATCAGAGATGTGGACTGGGAAGACCTCAGGAGGTCATGCAGTTGACCCCCTTACTCAAAGCAGCATTGTCCCTACCTATCTAAGCCAGCTTAGACAAGTCAAATCTATTCTTAAAACTTCAGGAATAAACCCCCAACTACTAGTCATAATACCTGACACATCGACAATGCCCTTGAAATTATGACAAGTAAAGGACTGTCAGTGTTGTGCCACTGCGCAAGGGTAAGAGGCATTTAGAGCACATGGAGATTTTTGACTAGGGTGGGCTTCTAGTCAGTTTGCCCTGACAGGGCAGCAGAGATCAAATTGTGACTATTGTCATAAGAGCAAAGACATTGATTGGGGGATTGTTGTGGCAGGATAGGTTTTACCAGTACAGGAAATTCAGCATTTAGGCAGTGTGCTGCTTGAGTAGTGCCTGCAGAGACTTAAGGTTGTTTGGAGGAGTGGTTTATCAACCACTAGTTAGGGTTTTATTAGTGGGGCTTTGTTGTATGGGGACACATGCAAGACTGCCAATAGAAGGTGAGTTTACTGGTCAAACTGATTAGGCACAGGTTGTTAACCAGGGATATGTATACCCTTGGGGGTACCTGGGAAGCCCCCAGGGGGTACTCGGCAGTGGTGCAGGGAAGCAGGGCCATTCATCCGTGTGCCAGTGGCACTCCCAGTTTCACCGTTGGCGTTTTTGGGCTCGATGATTGGTCGCTGGGGGAACCCCCTGCTTGGCAATCAGCTGCCAGGGGATTCCCCCCCGCCTCCCTGCTCAATGATCGGCCAGGGGACTCCCCGCTTGTCGACCATCTGTTAGGGGTACACCAGCCCAAAAAGATTGAAAACCCCTGGTGTAGGGTAAGCCTTGATACCAGTTATCTATCTACTTTTTGCAGTTTAATCCATACCATACTCTTTAGCTGTCTGAGTTTTATAGGACCAGTTAAGCTTTCCTTACGTCATATAAACCTCTCGGTTCATTTTTATCTTACCAAGTCTTTTCTGGGTGTCTCTTACCAAGTTATTTCATGTAAAGCAGGGGTGTCAAGTACACAGACCGTGGGCTGGATCCACCCATAAAGCCATATGGTCTGACCCTTGGTTCTTGGTCAGATGCCACATGCAGAGCCAGTCTGGCATGCACACTGGACCTGGCACTGTGAACGCTTCATGAGGCACAGGGAATCAGTCCAGGACATGCAAGGACAAGCAAGGCATGTGAAAGGTAACAAGAAGGGTTTCTACAAGTTTGTAGGTAGCAAGAGGAAGATCAGGGGAAGTGTGGGTCCCTTACTGAATGGGGGAGGCAACCTTGTGAGAGAGGATGCAGAAATGGCTGAAGTGCTCAATCCCTTCTTTGCCTCAGTCTTCACTGGCAAGGTCAGCTCCCAGACTACTACACCTGGCAGCACAGTTTGGAGAGGAGGTGAGCAGCCCTCAGTGGTGAAAGAACAGGTTAGGGACTACTTAGAAAAAATGGATATGTACAAGTCCATGGGAATGGATGGGATGCACCTGTGGGTGCTGAGGGAGTTGGCTAATGTGATTGCAGAGCCATTGGCTATCATCTTTGAAAACTCATGGCAATCAGGAAGGTCCTGGATGATAGGAAAAGGGCAAACATAGTGTCCATATTTAAGAAAGGGAAAAAGGAGGATCCAGGGAATTATAGACCAGTCAGCCTCACCTCAGTTCCTGGAAAAATCGTGGAGCAAATCGTCAAGAAATCCATTTCTAAGCACCTGGAGGGAAAAAGGTGATTAGGAACTGGGAAGCAGCTCTGCAATAAAGGATCTAGGGGTTACAGACCCTGGGGATCTAGGGGTTACAGTGGATAAGAAGCTGATTATGAGCCAACAGTGCGTCCTTGTTGCTGAGAAGACTAATGGCAACCTGGGCTGCATTAATAGGAGTGTTGTCAGTAGGTCAAGGGAAGTGATTATGCTCCTCTATTCAGCACTGGTGAGGACACATCTGGAGTACTGGGTTCAGTTTTGTGCCCCCCACCACAGGAAGGATGTGGACAAATTGGAGAGAGTCCAGCAGAGGGTGACAAAAATGGTGAGGGGGCTGGGGGACATGATTTATGAGCAGGGATCTAGGTTTTCTGTTTCCCATGGAAAAATGGAGAAAGCCATGGATTCCCTGTTTTTATCGGAGAAAATGTGGATTTCCCTTTTTAGCAGAGAAATCTGTGGATTCTCCGCCTTTGCAAAGAGCAGATTGCAGGCTGGCACAGCTCCAGCCTGCAAGAGCCAGTTGCAAAAAGGGCGGGAAACCCCCAGCCCTGCCTGGAGGGAGAGGGGGAAGGGTAAGGCCTGAGCCTCTGAGTCAGCCAAGGTTGGGCTCAGGCTGACTCTCCCTTCGCCTCTGGAGCCTAGTGGTAAGTGGGGCTTGGGGGCTGTGGGGTAGGGCTGG